ATATCTCAGAGCCTCATCCCTCGCTTGACGTTTGTCCACTTTGGGGAAGGTTGCATTCTCAACAAGAAGGGGCTGAGCTACAAACTGTAGAACCTCGCTCCTCCTAACCTCTTGCTCCACCACCTTTTTCTTCCTCTACAGCGCTCCCACCTCTTCACTGCCCTTCCTCTTCAGCTCCACCTCGAGCCTCACCTCCTTAACTCCAGATGAGGTGCTAGGCACTAACTCCTTCCCAGCCTCCACCTCATTTGCTTCCTTGGTGGAAGTCTTTGACTTCCTCCTCGGCTTCTTTGGAATAGCCACCCCCCCAGTAGCATTCAAAAATTTATCCATCTCAGCTACAAAACAACATAAACAAAACATGTCAAAAATACAACTTTATGTCCCACATCAAGCACTACAATACAAAATACAAACAAACCTTCACTCAAAGCAATTGGCCCATAGAGCTAAGCAGCCTTTATACAATCTGCACTTGTGAGGTACATAATGTTCACTAAATTACCCCCCTCCCTCACCAACTTCCCCACCTCTTCTTCCTCATCCTCATTTAAACTATATTTATTTTGGTTGGCTTTCTTAGCCTTCCAAGATGACAATAATTCTACTTCGGCATCCCCCTTTCCCACTCAGTGTCATTTATAAAGAAAAAATTTTCCTTCCATCCTTTAATGGATGAAGGACCCGTTGTAAATAAGCTCCTACTCTCCTTATTTGACACTCTAGGGGTGAAATAATACCACCCCTTGTCCTTTCTATTACCCCCCTTTAGAACAAAAAAATATTTAAACATATTTATAGTTGGCACATTAACCCCCTGAGCTTGGCAATAAACTAAAAACCCTATTATTATCCTTATAGCATTGGGGGCTAATTGTGTCAACCCTATACTATAATCTAATAATAGACCCACAAGCAACTCAAGAATTGGAAACCTAAGCCCAATTGCCAAATAATGAGCATACATGGGCATCCAATGATCCCGAGGTGCAGAACACGCCCTCTTCTCTACCCTAGCAGGCCTAATCAAAACTCGGGAAGAAATTTCATAACTTTCAACTAAATAACCTAGGCTATCCCTAGTCCCGAGCTTAGACTCATACTACTTCACCTCAGACACAATGTCTGCATCTACATCATAACACCTCTCATTCCTACCCTCCACTTCTACTACAATAATGAGTACCCTATCTCCCTCTACCCCAACTATCTCACTTCTCCCTACCCCCTCCTCCGTCCTCTCCGAATCAGATGACTCACTGGTCATACCCACGTCTCCATATTCCAATGCCCTCACTTCCTCACTACCCCCAACGCTCATTGTTTCTTTAGAAGATATCTCTTCAAAGTTCGTAACTTTCACTGCATGGAGTAAAGAGGGGTGAAGGAGAAAATGAAATCAGGATCTTCAGAAATTCTAACTCACACTCACCATTACTCTCACTCCTACACCTAACTTCCTTCAAAAGACTTAGATCTAAATCAGAAAGAATGAAAGTAGAAGAAAACACACTCTAAAATCTAAATCACCAAAACTCATACATTACCTGCTCTCAGTCTTGAAAGCTTGATGTAGAAGTCCATAAAGGATGCAACAGTTCGACGCAAGAAAAACACGGTAGAGTTTTGGTAGCAATTTCGTAGAAAATGTAACGAAAGTAAAACTCTTTTTACAGAAATATGGCTATATATACCATAGAGCAAAAATAAATCTCAACAGTTATGATTAATTTAATCTGACAGTCATAATTCACACCGTTTCGAATTAAATAGGACAACCCTAACAGGAACCTTTCGAATTCGATGGTTTGTTTTCCACTCCGTCTGTTTAATTGTAGCAGTTACTTTTTTCAGCCCGTTTTTATTGTACACGTCTTTCAACAGACAACTGTCATGTCACGTACTAACCCTACGTTAGACTTTTTAAACGGGCCCACTTAAGCCCAACTCAACACTTCTGTTCACTTTCACAATAATATTTTTCAATTTTACAAGTATTTTACCTCAGCTACAGCCACAATGACTCCGGTCATTACCTTTTTACCTCAGCTACAACCATTATGACTTCGGTTATTACTTTTTACTGCGGCTCCTGCCACTATGACTCTGGTCATCACTTTTTACTACAACTCCGGCCACAATGGCTTCGGTCATTATTTTCACTACGGCTTCGGCCACAATCATTCCGGTCACATTTTATTTTGGGAATGGCCAAAATGACCCCATGTCACATATTTCACTATTAGTTACGGCCATACAAGAATTTGAGTTACCAATTTTTATTTTAACTTCTGTAACTCATCTTTAATATTTTCATTCCTCTTTCTATCTATTTATGCACTATTCCCATTATCTCTAACAACATCATTCACAAGTGAATGACTTCGAGGGGGGAATAGTGTAAGGATAGGTCCGAGGTCCTTAACCTCGAACGTACTGTAACAATTCCTTAATAGCCGAAGTGAAGTTAAATCCAGCACTTCCCGATCAAATGGCTACATGATAAATATAGTGGACTTGCCCACACCTGATTTGTCACACACAATTTCCCAGTCCCGAAATTACTGCCTAAAAGGACACGTCACACTCCGATTATCCTGTTAAGCAAGCCACGTGGGCACTTCACGAAGGCCTATAAATACCCCCCAAGGGCCACCTCAAAAAGCTAATTGAAACCAACCTAAAACTCTTGTTAATTTAAGTTGGCTCATATGGGATAAATGTAGATTAAGTCCAAAGACACATGCCCCTATCAATATCCTTATATTTGGGTTTGATTTTAATTGGGTTGTGTCCAATAAAATAAATTTATATAGTAGTCATAGCAAGAGATAAGTAATAATAAACGCAGTCCCTTAGTAAAATTGGGCTTTGAGTTATTGGGTTACAATGAAGCTTTATGGAACGTGAGGGACTACAGCAATTGTGAATTTCTCTTGGCATAATTCAATGATTAGTCCATTAACTAGTAACCTTATTCTAATTTTCTCCTACAAAATTAGTTTAATTTGTAGATGGTAAATTAACATTATAAAATATTAAATAAAATTCAACTATACAAATTTTCTATTAGTCTTAATAGATAACTAATAAAAAAAGTTATGTCAAAATTAAAACAGAATTGTACTAAATAACCCTAAATGCAATCGAGAATTGACTAGTATTGATATGAAATCATATCAATAATTGTCAGTTATGCAAGAAAGGAGATTTGTTAAAAGGAAAAAATTAAGCAACATTCAATAAAGGTTATAGACCCTCGGATAGTGAAACGAAACTTAACATTTATATCGAAATTTATTTGCAAGGGTAAACAATTTAAAAATGATATACTTGAAGATTAATTAGAACAAACATAGTGAACCTGTTGATAATAACAAACAAAAAGTAAAGCTAACTATTTAATAAAAGTAAAGAATAATGAATGGATCCAAAAGCATCTAAAAATAATATGTGAAACAAAATGGTGCAATAACTATTGGACTATTTATTCAATTAAGACAAGATCTTATGCACTCTATAATTCAACAACAATTAATTTAAAAGGTTTGTTTATTGTTTAGATATAAGCAGAAATTAAAGATATATTAAAAATACTTTTTAGTTATAAAATTGTATTGAAACAAATTCAAGTCAATCTTAAATTTATTAACTACTTATTTAAATCCACCCATTTAGCTACAACAGAAATACCATTTTTAACGTTGACATTTTTTTCAATTACATATTTAATTAAAAAAAGCAGTCATAACCTGTGGCCAAAGCCCAAAGTTGCAAAATCGTAAGTCCTCATGCTTGACTAAAGTACTTAATCAATGGACTGTTTCTGGGAATACCATCACAGGTTTCATGTTTGATTCTGCGTGATCACTTTCCGCTGTCCCCCGGAATGTGGCAAAATTTGTTAAATAGTTTTTGGGGAAAAGACAAGGGAAGCCTTCAACCTTACTGAATATGAAACTATTAGCCCCTTAACTTACAATATAAAAGTTGAGCCCGCCATCTTTTCGGCTCAAATGAAAACACGCAAAATGAAGAAGAAACTCATGTGCTCGTTAAAATTCTGTTATTCGTTCCCATGTCAGTGCCAATGTCACAATTTATTGTCATCATGTATTGCCACCATGGACAATAATTTCAATAAGAGTGGCAAACTTCTACTTCTAAAGTGGGTTGATATCAAAATATTTAAAACCTACAAATGGATGAAAAATAATTTAGGGACAAATTTTCATACCACTTGTTTATACAACTTGATGTATTATATAAGTCATTTGATCTTTTAATTTATTTAGGATTTATGATATTCAGTGCATCCAGTGATTTAAGTATAACATATGAAAATTATAAGATTGTATGAAAGAGTTGTTCCTATATCACTTCTAAAAATATCAATGTATATACATAGGATAACAAGGGGTGGAAGGCTCCCACATGTGGCTTTTGTGGTGATATATGAACAATGTTTTGATACAATTTTTGTATATATGTGTTGTTCCTCGTAAAATAAATAGAAGAAAAATAGACAGAAGATTAGCAAAAAATAAATTAATTAAAGATGAAAATAAAAAGTAGAAAGATGTCACCGAAAGTATGAGGAGTTTGAGCTGAGGCGTGGATCAATCACTCTCTTTAGGACGTTTCATGCCACTAGTGCAGCAGATTTTTTATGGTCACGCCGCCCCAAGGATACAACAGCCCAACCTCCTTGTTGTATCTTTACAAGTACTGCACTCTTGTAAAGAAAGCTCTACCCCACCACCTTTTCCTTGCCCAAAAAGAG